ATCAAAATTTGCGGGTCACCCATCGGGTACCTGAACCCGTTCAGGACTCTGCCTGGCAGGACCGTTATGAGAGAGATGGTCATACTAATATAGATTATGACACTAGGCTATATAAATAAAATTGAATTGAATAGTCTAATTGTATTAGTTTCATAGCTTTTGGTTCTGTGTCTTGTTTTCTGCTTACTTACAATTTACAAAACCAACCTGTGTTTTTAATATAAGATAAAACCAGGGAAGTTACTTGAAATTTTTTCATATTTTTTTCTATAATTGCAGTTTTACACAATAAATATTCTACGTTCATGACTACTTTGAAATGTGTTAACAGTTTATTATACAACGTCCTGCTGCAATGCCTTTGTTATGGACATATGTTACCCTTTCAAATACAGTTATATTGAAATTTACAGATCAAATCATATACTGCAATATATACCATCTAACTTCTATGGTTCAAATTATACCGCAATATGAATTTTATTTTATATCGCACAGCCCTACTTTCCAGTGTTTTCACATGTCATCCACGAGCTTGTGAAAAAGGATGTCTTGGTCTTTCCTTAAATAGAAAAAGAATCTCGCACCAGCATCTTAACCTCCCATTTCCTGTTTCAGTATGGAGACTACGACCCCAATTTTCACAAGCCAGGATTTTTGGCCCAAGATGAGCTCATGCCTAAGAGAGTAAGCACCTCAAAAGCGGACTTTGTTTGTGTGTCCCAGTCTGGCTCCCTGGTCTTCAGACGTGTGTATTAGAGGCTCTGACCCATTTTCTGTGTGCTGAACAGGTTCTGATGCAGTATCAGATGACTCCAGACATGTGGGAGGAGAAGATAACGGCGTGGTATGCGGAGCATAGGGGCATCGCCAGGTGAGGCTGCTTTAAACACGTCAGAAGTACGCAATTATTTTTCCCCGAGGTCCACATTCTTTTCAGCCAATCAAAGCCAAGGTCCACGTTTTGGTCATGTGGTGTAGATTGCGCGGTGTTTCAGGCCGGATGTAGACCGGGGTCTGCCATTTCAGTACCCCTGTTTGCATTCTCATGTATACAGTGTGTTTATGCGGTCCGGTCCAGCGCAGCACAGCGCAGCATGTTTGGTGTTGCTTCCATTCTGATTTACGCAGCAGCTGCGTGGAAACTCGGAGAAACTTGGACGGATTGTGAAACTGACCCTGTCCCCCGTTTTGAAGGACGCCGATCTTGAGTAGCATCATTTCGTTTGTTATGCCACGTAGGTGGCTGACCGGTGAGGTGGGGCTGTGTCTGTGAAGGAAGAGCGGGCTCCTGTTCTCAGAACATAACGGCTTCCTTTTGTACTCTTTAGGGATGAAGCTGAGATGGATTACCTGAAAATAGCACAGGACCTTGACATGTATGGAGTCAGTTACTTCTCAATAACTGTAAGGCACTTGTTCTTTGTCTTCAAGCTCGGGGGGTCATGATATGGTAGCTACTGGCAATCCTTGTTTTTTGAGGGCAATGTGAAAGCCATTGTACCTTATACCTAATCACTACCAATGCTGGACTGCTATTTAATTGCTGTTTTAAATGTAACTCAAACCGAGTTCTTTATTTCTATGCTCCTAATTGCGTAGCTAAAGACGTTAACTAGTCAGCTTGTCAGTCTCTACTTGAGCTGATTTAAACTTCTTAATCCTGCAGCAAAACAAGAGGGACACAGAGCTTCTCCTTGGGGTGGACGCCCAGGGGCTTCACATATACAACCCCAACAACAAGCTGAACCCTAACAAGTCCTTCCCTTGGAGTGGCATCAGAAACATATCCTATAGTGAGAAGGAGGTAGGGCAGCCTATCTAGGCCTCAAAGACTTTGAATGTTATTGATGTTTTCTGTTATATTGGTAGCTTAAACGTGCAAATAACTTCTTTGATGTTCTCTTGCAGTTCACAATAAAGCCATTAGACAAAAAGAAGGAAGTCTTTAAGTTCTATTCATCCCAGCTCAGAGTCAACAAGCTGGTGGGTCTTTTTTTGGGTTGAGTGGCATGACTTGAGTGTATATATAACTTGTAGAACTGCATTATGGAGCTGCTCCCCCCCCCCCCACACTGGCATGCAGATTCTGCAACTATGCATTGGAAACCATGACCTGTTTATGCGGAGAAGGAAGGTGGATTCAATTGAGGTCCAGCAAATGAAAGCACAGGCCAAGGAGGAGAAAGCAAGGAAGAAGGTCCGTCAGGCTGCTGGTCACGAGCTCATTTCCCGGGGGAGACTCTGAAAGTGGCTTGAACGTTATCAGTGTAAGGAAGCAAACGTGTGTTTGCGCTCTGCCCAGATGGAGCGGCAGATTCTCTCTCGGGAAAAGCAGATGAGGGAGGAGGCAGAGCGTGCAAAAGAGGACATGGAAAGGCGACTCTTTCAGCTACAGGATGAAGCACGGCTGGCCAATGAAGCACTGGTGAGGGTTGGGGGGGGCATTCCTCACCCTGAGCAATGATGTTAACGGCTTGTTTAGATGTCGTTTATATGGTAGTTGTTGGTTTATTGGAGTTTAAGCCATCCTGTCTGTTAATCTGACTTAATTATGGAGTCCAGACAGTCTGGAGATCTTGATATTAAAATGATAGGGGTATGGAGTAACCAGTGGGAGAAGAGCTTGGGAGATCTCTTCACCTGAAGAGGTTTAAAATAGACTAAGGAGTTTTTAGTACAGTCGACCCTTCCACATGGGGGGGGTCGGGGGGGGGGGTTTAGAAGCACATGGTTCACATGGTTTTCCCAGATCGCAGTGTTTTGGTTCATGAGTGAAGCAAATGGAAATGCACTGTACATGTATTTTGTGGATTTGTGACTCTCAAAACTTTTTGTTTGTCATCTGCGGCTTTCGCAAAACTCCCAAAAATTCACATTTTACTTCTTAGACCCTGTGATATATCGAAATCGATGCGGGAAGGATCAACTGTACGCTGACCAAATTGAGGCTTTTTGTGCAACAGAAATATATTTTTTTGTCTAAACTTTGAATTCTTTAATTCATTGGCACTTGAAAATGTATTTATTGTGGCCGTAATACACTTTTTAAAGAAAGTACTGGGATTTTGATGTTGTTATATCTTGTTTCCAAACTGCGAGTTCATGTGTCACTACAGCCAGCGGATTGTTCCCTCAGCTTCGCTCGGAGGAGACGGCGGACCTGCTGGCAGAGAAGGCCCAGATCGCGGAGGAGGAGGCTAAGCTGCTGGCCCACAAGGCAGCCGAGGCGGAGCAGGAACGCCAGCGGCTGGAGGTCACGGCACTGAAGACGAAGGAGGAGAAGCGGCTGATTGAGCAGAAGATGCGGGAGGCGGAACAGCTGACTGTCAAGCTGGTGGAGCAGTCAGAGAGGAGGTCAGATTATACCACCATTTACAGTCTTCATCTGGTCTCCCTGATGGCCAAAATCTCAAGAGATGCCATCAGCCAACCAAATGACCATCTATGGAATGATACATAGTAACATCCTGTGGCTCTCTGATTATCTCTGATGTTGGGCTTCACCTATGATTCCCATTTGTAGACTGCTTACTAGCTGTCCTGTGATCTTCATTTATGAACTTTCTGGTGGATCCGTGCTTGTAGAATTCCTTGTTCATGCTCCTGATGAACATGCATATCTGTCCCTCAGGCTGAAAGAGGCAGACCATCTGAAGCAGGACCTGAACGAGGCTAAAGATGCAGAGCGCAGGGCCAAGCAGAAACTGCTGGAGATCACCAAGACCACCTACCCGGTAGAGTCTGCAGGACCACAATATGCCCCAAGCCTTAGCCTTCGGGCTGCAGTACACCTTAGCTGTCCTTCCTCCTCTGAACGATGTCATTGGGCACATTTTGTTTTTAGATCATGGCGGCTTATTCCAGCCCCCCTCTGACCCTTGAAGGAGGAGGGGACCTTAACCTTGATGCAGGCCCCTGCAGGACGGACTTCAAGGACAGCGATATGAAGAGGCTGTCCATGGAGATCGAGCGGGAGCGGTGCGTGTGGTTCTGTGACTGTGCCTTAGTTTTGCGTGCCGTGCCGTTACCCAGTGCTAATGGGACTCGTGCGTTCCAGGCTGGAGTACATGGAGAAGAGCAAGAACTTGCAGGAACAGCTGAAGGAGCTCAAGTCGGAGATCGAGTCCCTGAAGCTGGAGGAGCAGCAGCAGAGCAGCTTGTTTGCCCCCCGCAATGACCCCCGCCTCTACTTCGAGCCACCATACGTCCCCCACAGCAATGTGAGTATCCCTGTGTGACACTGCAGTAGAGCTGGCACGCAGTGACCACAGTGCAGTGTGCACCAGATCTGGTCCCCTCACACCCTTCACCTTCCAGTGTCTTCACTTCACCAGCACAGTGAGCTCCTGCAGGTCTTAACACTTTAGGCCAGTGTTTCTCACCTCAGTCCTCAGGGACCCCTCAGACGGTCCATATTTTTGCTCCCTCCCACATCTGTACCAGGAATGTACCAGGCGTTTTTCATTGGCTGGGAACTGGGAGGAAGCAAAAACGTAGGTTCCTGAGGACTGAGTTGGGAAACACTGCTTTGAGAGAGACTCCCAAGTCTCTCTCACCTGAAGTCTAATCCAGAGGTCTACCTCACCTCTGGTCTTGCGAGGGCTGCGACATCAGGCTTTTCCTTTGCCTGGTTCCATTAGGTCTGGCTGCCCTCCAGTGTCTATGGTTTATGGGGGGGTCGGAGGCGTTGCCATTCAGCATTCTCTTGGGGCTGGAGACGACCGCCCCCACCCCACTCCACCCCCTTCCTCATCAGTCCCTCAGGATCTCTCCAGGGACATACTGTACCACTGATTTGTTATGCCATTTACTTATTGAAGAGAGAGTGCAGCTCTTATTATAGCTGGTTGTTAGAATTTCAGCTTTGCACATGTCACCGCGCTTGCTGCAGCAGTCTTGCACGCTCACACTGTACTGCGTGAGCACGGTACAGCACTGCACTGTTCACAGCAGAATGGACGTGCTGGTTTCCTGCATTTTAATTCCCTGTGTGCCGGTCTGTTGCTTTGACTCTAGGTCAGGCACTATGGTATGGAGGTTATCTACATTTGAGGGGCCCGGGAGGATAATGAAGCAGTCTTGAGGTGAACAGCTATGCTGCTCTTCCCCCTTGCCCCCTCTCCCCCTCCTTAAATGTGACCGCCCCCATGTATTTGACCAATCATCATGTGCAACAGTGCCCCCAGTGTTAGGAGGATGAACAGACAGGATCAGGCCTGAAATGTAATGATATCCCTTTCAGGAATATACCGTTTTTTCAGTTAGAGGGATGGATTTTTCAGCTTTGCTGGAAAAATTAAACAAAACCCTTTTGTCTGGAAGGTGTTTTGTGCCCGTTTCCATGTGGTTAGGCTGAGGAACAGTGACTGGCTGGGATGTGGAGATGCTGGTGCTTTGTCCAGCTCTGTGTGACTCCGGGGACATGCTTTGCTTCTTGCAGAAAGATGCCTAGGTACCCCTAGTGCTTGCTGTCCTGCTCTTCTGTCTGCTTCCATGCTGCTTCCAGTCCGCTGCTGAAACTTGTAAAAATGTGTATTATTCCTGTATATGACAACCCCCCCCCACACACACACTTTATTTGAAATTGCCTGGTATACCTACTCCTGTTGACGATCAGATTACAGCAGTGCAATTCCACTGGTCAATTCTAAGAACAGAATTTTCAGCTCAGCGGTTTCCTCAAGTATGGGCTCCGATGTCTTAAGTTGTATATCTTGGCATTTCTGGTTTGTGTAGTTTCTCTCCGATTCGCTGTCGGCCGAGCTCAAGCACCCCTCTCTAAATGGCCATGTAGGAGCTTACATTGAGGTCCTGACGTTTTGCTGTCTCTCTTTCAGCGAAACTCCGCCTACCTGGCTCAGATGGCGTACTCCGAGGAGGTGTGACGAGGATTAAGGGCGGGTGACTGGCCGCCTTGCGCTCCAAGCATCCCTAAAATATATGTACATTATATATATATATATAATCACTGCCTTGCATTAATGACACTCAAACTATTGAAATACCTCTGCAGTAATGCAAAGTCATTTAACTTTTATTCTCCTCCTTTTATGACATGTGTGTTCAGTGAAACACAAATGCTGCAAATGCTTTTTTAATTTTCCTGATTTCAGGGACTTGTTGCTACCACTGCAGTGAACAGCTCAGCATTTAGCCTAGCGTGTTTTTCGTATAACCAAGTACCTTCTCCTTGTAACACTTGGTGTTTTGCATGTTCAAATGGAAGTTGAATAAATACTTTGTTTTACAATGTAGCCTGAACAGTACCGTATCTGCAACACTAGGCTGACTAATACGGCTTCTGACCTGAAAGGGGTTGGCTTATGCTTGGCTGTTTCATTGGAAAGCAAATATATTTCTTTGCGAAAGCGGAGTTTAGTACTTTATTTGAAGCTTTTACATACAGAAAGTACACTGCTCAAAAAAATTAAAGGAACGCTTTGAAAACACATCAGATCTTAATGGGGGGAAAAATCATGCTGTATATCTATACTGATATGGACTGGGTAATGTGTTAGGAATGAAAGGATGCCACATCGTTTGATGGAAATGAAAATGATAAACCTACAGAGGGCTGAATTCAAAGACACCCCAAAAATCAAGGTGAAAAAATGATGCGGTAGGCTGGTCCATTTTGCCGAAATTTCATTGCAGCAACTCAAAATCGTACTTAGTAGTTTGTATGGCCCCCACGTGCTTGTAGGCATGCCTGATAATGTCGGGGCTGCTCCTAATGAGACGATGAATGGTGTCCTGGGGGATCTCCTCCCAGATCTGAACCAGGGCATCACTGAGCTCCTGGACAGTCTGAAGTGCAACCTGGTGGCGTCGGATGGACTGAAACATAATGTCCCAGAGGTGTTCCATTGGATTTAGGTCAGGCGAGCATGGGGGCCAGTCAATGGTATCCATTCCTTCATCCTCCAGGAACTGCCTGCATACTCTCGCCACATGAGGCCGGGCATTGTTGTGCACCAGGAAGAACCCAGGACCCACTGCACAAGCGTAGGGTCTGACAATGGGTCCAAGGATTTCATCCTGATACCTAATGGCAGTCAAGGTGTCGTTGTCTAGCCTGTAGAGGTCTGTGTGTCCCTCCATGGATATGCCACCCCAGACCATCACTGACCCACCACCAAAAAGGTCTTGCTGAACAATGTCACAGGCAGCATAATGTTCTCTGCAGCTTCTCCAGACCCTTCCACTTCTGTCACATGTGCTCAGGGTGAACCTGCTCTCATCTGTGAAAAGCACAGGGCACCAGTGGTGGACCTGCCAATTCTGGTATTCTATGGCAAATGCCCATCGAGCTCCATGGTGCCAGACAGTGAACACAGGGCCCACTAGAGGACGTCGGGCCCTCAGGCCACCCTCATGAAGTCTGTTTCTGATTGTTTGCTTAGAGACATGCACACCAGTGGCCTGCTGGAAGTCATTCTGTAGGGCTCTGGCAGTGCTCCTCCTGTTCCTCCTTGCACAAAGAAGCAGATACTGGTCCTACTTATGGGTTAAGGACCTTCTACGGCCCTGTCCATCTCTCCTAGAGTAACTGCCTATCTCCTGGAATGTCCTCCATGGACTTGAAACTGGGCTGGGAGACACAGCAAACCTTCTGGCAATGGCACATATTGATGCACCATCATGGAGGAGTTGGACTACCTGTGCAACCTCTGTAGGGTCCAGGTATCACCTCATGCTACCAGTAGTGACACTGACTGTAGCCAAATGCAAAATTAGTGAAAAAAACTGTCAGAAAAGATGAGGAGGGAAAAATGTCAGTGGCCCCCACCTGTTAAACCACTCCTGTTTTGGGGGTCGTTTCATTGTTGCCCCTCTAGTGCACCTGTTGTTAACTTCTTTAACACCAAAGCAGCTGAAACCGATTAACAACCCCCACTGCTACTTAACAGACTAGATCAATATCCCAGAAGTTAAATTGACTCGATGCTATACTCTGATTAAAAAGTGTTCCTTTAATTTTTTTGAGCAGTGTATATTTCAACAGTTTCTGTGTTTGTCGGATTTATTTGGTGCTTCCGTTCAATGTGGTTGATAGTTTTAGGTTGGTCCACACTCCTAATTGTATGTATGTTTTTAATTAAGCACTCTTAAGATATAAACCTTGTACCTTCTGTTTTTTTCTGATGATCGAATGTTCCATGCCTTGAAACTCCAGCGCCCCCTTGTGGGCCATCTGTTTTCCCATCATGCATCACAGGTCACGTGGGCTTCACTCACAGTCATACTCTACAAGCCGCACACATTTCATTGTATCTTTCCTGCCAGCAAATCTTAACAAGACAACAGGCCGTGCTGCTGCACACGAAATCTAGCAGCTAATTATAATTGTAACTTGTGGCAACTGCCAATTTTGACAATCTTACTAAAGCCACAGTATTGTTACTATAGTCTATCATGCAGTCATATTCCCCAGGTATTCAGGATTAAATAGCTAACTTTCCGTCGATTTGGACCGCTATGCAGGTCCAGTCCTATGTCTGGTGTCTGCATGTCCTCTTTTGTGGGCTCACCATGCAGTATTCTGTCAAGCATTCTTACAGTAATGCGTTTTGTTTTCAGCAAGGGTGGACTTTTCAGGTCCAGAAAGTAAGAATCCAGACCATGGTTTTGCTTTAGCCAACCAGTTGAATACTCTGTGACTGTGAGGCTGAATCAACTAGATGGTCGAAACAATAGCTTGGTCTGGATGTTTTCTTTTTGGACCTGAAATTTCCACCTCTGGTTTTCAGCCAAACCGTAGGGTGACCAGTCATGTTTTAATGATTCATTACAAAGCTCATTCAAAAAGAAAATCATTATTATGGGATCTGTATTTGGTCTTTTATGAACACTACTAATAAGGAGCCTTAGGGGGGTGGAGGGGGGTCTCTTTATTTTGTGCCATGTTTAAGGTGCGAGCTTAGGCCAGTGTTTCCCAATACGGCCATCAAGGACAGCATGGACGGTCCACGTTTTTGCTCTATTCCAGCTGCCTACCGGAAGCTCGGAGTGAGCAAAAACGTGGACCGGCTGTGGGTCCCCAAGGACCAGTTTGGGAAACACTGGCTTAGGCCATCTTGCAGCCTAGCCCTGGCTCTGTACACAGGATGTTCACTGCTCTGACATTTCAATAAATTATGTCAATACTTTCAGTTTTTTCCTGCTTCTTTCCTTCTAAGATGAGCCTCCGTTTCTACACAAATCCCTCATCTTAACCTCACCTAACCACACTGCTGGAGCGGCAAGCCGGTAACGCCTGCTCAGCTTGCTTCTATCGCTGTGCCCCGTTCCATATGCATGCCGACCAGGGGCTTTTTTCACTCTGTTTTTAGTGACCAGTGAGGACAGCAGGATGACTCAAAGCCCCAGCCGTTCCCTGGGAAACGTGTAGCAGTGTAGTAATAATGGCAATGATGCATTGGTAGGGAACTACAAGGGTGTGTGGGTGGTTAACCCTTGATACACCGTTTTAGTTACCTTTCTCTGCTGCCACCACTCACCTTGATATTGGGTCACTTTTCTCAGACCTATTGGCTTTAGGATAATAACCCCACCCCCACTGTGCATGTGTGGAGTTTGCATACTCTCCCTAAGTCATGCCAGTTGCCAAGGAGCCAGTTGCTCAGTGGGAGGGGCAATGTGAGAGGGGTTTATAGTGATACCCTAACCCTTGTTATAAACCCCTAAACTCAACACTCAGCTCCTAGCTGCAGCGATATATACAGTATTTGAGCCAGTTTCCATGAGCAGTTAAACCAACTGGCATCTCTTAATTGCTTTGTGTGTATGTGTACGTACACATGCTCTGTGATCGGCTGCCATTCCTATCTTGTGTCCTGTGCTGCCTGGGATACGCTTTATGCCCCTGACCCTGTCGTTTTTTAGCTTTATGGTATAAAAGCTACGTTATGCCAGTTCCGTCAGTGTTCGGTTTGACCAGCAGAGGGCGTGAGTACTCAGCATTTTCAAGGCTGTCCTTGTTTAAAGCAACAGCAATGTTGCCTGCTTGCATGCTTTTTCATGTAGGAAGCTTCTTTTTTTTTTAGACGGCCTTTCACGAGAAAGGATTATGTACTCAAAATGTCACAGACGTCTGCACTGCGGCAAAACGAATTAACCTGTTGTTTCAGCAGCTTTTCTATTTTCTGTTTAATATTTATTTATATTTCCTGTTTAATTGTATTTGCTGATGTGTTGCATAAATTGATTGTTTTCAAGGTCTCCTGTGCCTGTGTTTTCCCACACACGCACCATAAGCATTGTAGCTGTTAAAACTGTTAAACCTGCTATCAACATCCAATATGACCAATTCTGAATATTCTCCGTTAATTTTAAACAAGCTTGGTTTAGGCTTTTTGTAAATTGATCAAAGGCTGCGAATCATTTTATAGACGCCGTGCTCAGCGTTATCACCCAGCCGCCACAAAGAATAATTAAAAGATCTCCGTGTGTGTTTGGGGGTCACCTCCCCTTCCCCCATATGTCTAAGTCCTCTGATGAGATAAAGCCTGGCTCATTATCAGCTTTTCTGGAGGTGAAACAAAGTACCATTTATCACCTGAGGCTTCTAGATGTGGGGTTCGCGGTAGCTTGCAGTCAATGCTTAAGGAAATGGCTTAGTGCAGAACACGAGAAGCATAAAGGGCCTTGTGTGAGGACAGTGTTACTTGAGTTACAGTGATTTGCATGCATGTGTAAGGCGGTGAAGGGGGGGGGGTACGGGATTTAAAGGGCCAGTTCCGGATTTTGCCTCATTTGCAGAAGGTGGCTTGGTTGTCGATTCTGAGATTTCCTCAAGTCTTGCCTGGAATGTTTCCAAGACCTCCTGTTCTGTGGTGGTGTGGCTGACCCAGTTGAACACCCTCCCAAAGGTGCCACGACACTGGACCCACTATCACTAAGGGAATCAGTCAAATTGTCTCCTGCCAGGTAGTTGGTCGCTGAGCATGAAGTATACAGAAATGATTAACTGGCAAAAGATAGAGTGAATCCTAGGAAACCGATCATGGGAATGGGAACAGCATGTAACATCAGCACAAATGGGGGTGGACAAAATGACAGATACATCATTAATTTCAAGGGTCTAATAAAATATAAAGCCACTAGTTGCCATCCGAACAGCTTCGGTCCTTCTTGGAAGGCATTGCAGTACAACGTGGTACTTAAGAAGCCTCTCTTAAATTTGCCTATCAGAATGTATTATTTAATGTACAACATCCATCCACATGATCCATCCACAAATCAAGGCACAACA